CCTTGCAGTGTCCAGGCGGTCGCGCTCTCCTCTGCACCTCAGCGCCACTCCCGCCCCGCGCCCCCCACCCCGCCCCGCACCCCCCACCCCGCCCCCGCCCCGCACCCCGCCCCTCCCCCTCCTGCCCCAGCTCTGAGACAGTGTTTTGCACTCGTGCAGAAGGAAGTGCCGAGATCCTCCGTTTAAAAAGATCTGGCTTTCCAAGGTGTGAGTGGCTCCGAAGAAAACACACGAGCCTTAGGATGTCGGGGGATCCGATTTCATCCTAACGCCGCCACATGTTTCGTCAGTGACCAGCGGTGCAAAATAACCTTTGGCAACTCCGGTATTTCTTTTCATTGAACTAAACAGTCATGAGAACACCGTCCGTGGCTTTCTCGCCCAGGTGACTCCAGAATGTCACCGTTCATTCCCTGGGGACGCAGAGTCCCTGAAGTGGGTGGAGAGCACAGGCTCTCAGGGAGGGAAGGGCGCAGAATAAGTGCTGTGAACAGAAATGGGGTTGGGAGGGCAGGGCCAGCCCCGAGGCAGGGCTGGGTCTCCGTAGCGGGGGAGGGGGGGGACTGGGGTCGCAGCAATGGCATCGGGGGATCGGATCCTTCCGTCTATACCAAGAGCCTTTCTGCTCAACCTCCACCTCTTCTGTGTGTGTTTGTTTCCATATACCGAGTCCGGCACAAACAACACCCCTTTCTCATTACAAAATCTTTTATTACAAAATCATTAGCATGTCGTTCTGTAACAGAGCAACATCACACTGAAGCACACGACGTGACATTTTACGTGAAATGTTCAAATTAACACTATAAATTATTACACCCGTCTGTTTACCCTACCAGCCGCACTCAAGCAGGCGATGCTTCTGCCGGACCCTGCATGCGGACATGTGTCACATTTTCCAGCACCATCCTGGTACAAATTCTACTGTCCTATCTGGAGGTACATATACCAGAATTTTCCACTTACAAAATCTCATCACTGAGGAAACAACAGGAGGCCCCCTTACACCTCATCCTCTTACACCAGGGCGCACACCGGGCTTCCCAAGGAAGGTGTCCTTGTCTGACCGCAGGAAGAGTCCCTCTCTGTAGGCCGCCTGAGAATGGTTAGTTTTACTGCAGCGCCCTCTAGTGCTGCACGAGGTCAGATTCACTTTCTACCTATAGAAATACAGAGATGACAGAAGAGAAGCGAAATTGGGAGAAGCAGTAATTTGGGTCATTTTTCCTGTGTTTTCCTTTGCGGAGCATGGAAGGAAGCATGAGTCACAAGGCCCCTTCAAGCTTTATCCTCTGCCATTTTGCCCAGGAACGCTCAGCTTCAACCATTCTGAGCACCTTGCTGTTCTACCTATAAAGCCTTCTACCCCTTTCCGGCCACAACCAGTCCTGTTGCCTCTTTGAAGAGCTTCTGCCCCTGCTTCTACTATCAGCGGAAGCATTACCTCTTCCCCAGCCCTTGGCCTCTCTGAGATTCTGTTTTCTTGTCCGCACGTAGACTGTGTCTAACATCTGCTCAAAATCCAATGATTCTGTATGTTATTATTAGTACCTCCTTTAAGGGCCTCCAGGTACTTAATGGCAAATCACGTCAATACTTCAGATGTTTCTTTGTAATTCTCATAGGCTCACTTATGAACCGTAAATTGGACTGCGTTGAAAATCACTTATTTGCATGTCTGTCATTAAAAAAAAGAGAATTTCTAAAAATCTTGTTAGATTACATGGGAACACATTTAATTTGAGCAATCTGAGGTAAAGATTTTAGGGGGAAAAAAAAAAAGAAAGGAACTTGTTTCCTCCCTAAATGACACACACAGAAGTCCAAGTTATCAACTGCACCTTCATCAAGAAACTGTACTTTCTAACTCTGATCATCACAACTGGTCAGCTCACTCTCCAAGGTCCTCTACTTCTGTTTTTCCCAGTAGTGAAAATGATGAGAATGTAAACCTCTAACTGTGAGCTCTCCTGAAGAATTGCCACTCAAAGCACTCGGGGTGATCCAAGCCTTGCGAGAACCTGGCATCAACACCCTGCTAAACTGACCTCCTTTGCGGCCATTGTTCCCAACAGAAGTGACAGGTAAGACTGGCAGCTTAATGCTTTAAACAGCCCCCTCAAAAAATACCCAAACAGTGTGTATCGTGTTTGGTGACAGAAATGCTCAATTGTATCATTTGTACCACAGATATTCTTGCAGCATCCACTTCTTTCCTCCTTTGAAATAAGGTCTTTTGCTAACCCAGAATAGGCTTTTTAGATATGCACCTCGTGTATAAATAAGTACAAAACACAAATATATGTGCAAACTTAATTTCTTCCAATCCCTTCTTAAGAACCAGGACATTCATAAGCTCAGACACAAAATTCTGCTTACTTACATTTTGTATTTCTCAAAATCTCATGTCTCTGACTATATGTATAAAGTGCATACTTATAGGCTATTGAACTGGAAGAGATCTTTCTGGTCATTTGATCCAACTGCTTACACACAAGGAAAATCAAAGCTCAAAGAGGGAAGTGATGTGTATGAGTGGTAAAGCTCTAGCTTTTCATTTCCTGACATCCCAAAACGAGAGCTTCTGCTTTGTGCGTAAGTCCACCTGCCGTCACAGAATGGTGAGGGGTAGGTTCCCATCAAGGGAGCTGGGAGTCACACCTGTGTTCTCACAGAACCATGTGTGCGGGCGATTATTTTATAAGGCCAAAGCAAATCTGAAATATGAGGGAAAAGTATGATTATTTACCAAATATCTTTCTCCTACAATAAAAAAGAAATCCACCTTCACTGGGTAAATGACGAGCAGCTCAGCTCCATTTCACACCCTGGACAGACCACTGCAATACTGTTTTATAAAAGCAGAAGGGTTTTTACATCATCATCTATCCCATCTTTCAGCCAAAATCCCAAACAATTTTATCAAGGAGTTTAGACAGACGACCAGCCTATGTCTCTTTTTCAACAGCTACTCTACATCCTTCTCTCTCAATGTCTCTCTCTCTCTCTCTCTCTCTCTCTCACACACACACACACACACACACACACACACACACTTCAGCTACCACCGTTCGATCAAGCCTCAGGAAGAATACACACAATCTATTTGCGGTGCCTTCCCCCTTGATAAAGTACACGAAATTGAAATGTGAGGACCCATTGTGCTACCATGCATCCTCTGACAGCATAAGAAATGACATTAGCTGAAACAGTCTAGCCTAGAAATAAGGAAAAATATTACAGTGTCAAGTGAAGAACTTCAAACATCTGTTCTCCCAAAACTTTGTACCCAGAATACATATGAACACGTTTCTTGAGCCAACAGCTCTAAAGCGCTTCCTGCATTTTTACGCCCTCTTCTGAGCCAGGAACCGAGTAAGCCCTGGTGAACGCAGGCGTCCTGGGAACCAGCACTCGGCTCTGCTTCCAGGCCCTGCTGCAGAGCTGCTGGGCGGCTTGCCAGCAAGTGAGAATGAGATCAGTGCCATGGGCGTCGGTAGCCCTGCCACCAGCGTGACCATGCATTGCCCCTTTGGCTCTGTCCTGCTGAGAGCCCTCGCCGAGCCTCGACGGGGGCCACCTGGCCTGTCTCTCCCTCGTCACAGCGTAAGGCAACCCGTAACCCTGTGGTGGTTTGAAACAGCACTCTCAGGGCTCCCAGACCTGCTGCACACGCTCAGCTGTTCTATTTTTGGTTACTCTCTTTGTTTTCTTCTCGGAAGCGCCTAATTCCGGTCTGTGCCTCAGGCACCTCGCCATGGACACATTCTGCCGCCCTCGCACCCGAGAGAGGAGGAAAGGTAAGATGCGGCAGGGACAGGAAGAGTGTGGCGTTGTGCTCACTGGGCTGCAGACTCGAGCGTGACACCAGCTACGCTTCTGGAATCTGGGGACACGAGCCCTCTCTGCAGGGCAGTCAGCACAACCGCACTACCCACCAGCCTTTCTGCATGAAAAACCCCTGTTTCCGGTAGGCACAGGCCAGCCCAGGCATTTGCTAGAACTCCTCTCCTCTTATCCTGGTCTCGTTTGAGCCTCTGACATGTCCATCAGAAACAAGGCTCCCCTCCTCTGACCTCTACCTGGAACAGACTTCTCTTCTAACCCAAAGCCACCTGCCAGGGAAACGAGAGTGAGGGGACCCGCCCCAAGAAGGGAACGCGGGCAGGCTCTGCATTTATTTTCAGTGGAGTTGCCTGCCGTCAAAGACACCCTTAAAGACCTCATAATGTTCGCAGGTATGAACGAGTAAGTAAGAAAAAATAATGTCAAAGGGGCCGCAGTAAAGAGAAAGGGAAAAGGAAGGAATAGGTTCCCTAAGAGAGGGAAATATTAGAAAAATGATCACTCCCCACGTAATGTATTAGACAAAGTGGGAAGGGGCACAGCGACGCCTGTGCGCTGACCGGCGGAGAAAGGCTGGGAGGATCGATATCGGGTTAGGTTGCTGGGGTAAGTGTTTGGCCATGTGCGTGCACACACGGGAACCCTCACGTCTCTGCCTTTGATGCGCACAGGATAGCTGTTTAAATGAACTGAAGAGTGATGCCTTCAGCATTCTTTACAAAGCAGAAGAAAACGTCCCTGAGTATCTGTGGGTATGTGGAATTGATCTCATTCTTACTTCCTTTTCATATTAATTCTCTGATCAGATGCTTAACTAGCAGAATGGGTAAACCAAGGTATATCAGTGACTTGGGGCTTCAAAGTGACAGCTCATAAAACACTCTCAGAATCCTTGCATTGCAAAGAAACAGAGACTTAATCCAGAAGCGGTGTCCCTGCCCTACCTCTGCTGTGCCCCACCACGGCCACTACTGAGAAAAGGGAAGGAAAAGAGAGACCGGAGGAGGGTGTTTAACCACACATGACCATCGCCAAGGGGTGAGGAAAGGCAAACTTCACAAGTTGGTTGTCAGATTATGTCCTGGGGACCCTTTGCAGCTGTGGGAGCGGCCATCGGCACAAGCAGGTGGAAACAAAGCGTGTGTGCATCTTACCGGAGGAGCGTAGAAGTGCAGGCAGATGTAGGTGAGGCACAGGACCAGCCCCAGCCCCTGGACCCCGGCGGCCACCAGCAAGAGCTTGTTCGCCTGGAATCTCCACCCTGCTGCGCTTCTGACATTCTCATCCAGGGCTTGGACCCCTTCCATCTTCACAGTCTGGATACAGAAAAGATGAAAGCGGAGCCAAAAGGAAATCTAGGGAGAAACTGCCCTCTCCTCAGCCAAGAAGGAGATGAACGCAACACGAAGCGGATCGATCAGAGAATCCACAGTGGTCCCAGGACCAGAGATAAGAGGCAATTGAAAGAGCAGAGCGGACTCTCTCGGTTTTAACGCCACAGGCAGGCGGGGAACTTCTTTGTGACTAATCTGAATTTCCCCTTTACTTTCTTTCTTTTTTTTCTCTTCTCTAGGCTAACAGGGAGTTGTTTTTGTGGCATTCCAGTTCTGATTTGAGTGATGTGAAATGACAGTCATAAGAGAGTACTGTTTTCTTAATTTCTCATTGCGCCAGGAACCAAATCGTGGGCCACTTATAAAGATAAAAATCGTCATCTGTTGATACAGGAGCTCAGCTATCCCTCCCCCCAAAGGTGTCTTTAAATCCCAGGAGAGATTTAAGGATAATGCTGGAAACTGAGCATTGAACCACTTCTACAGATTTGAGGGGCGCACATACAAATCACTTGCAAAGTGAAAAAAGAGAGAAAAGAAGAAAATACGGCGATGGATCATGCAGAAATAAAGGAGTGAGACCCTCTAATTTTATTCCATTACAGTGGAATAAATAAACTAGTATATAGTAAGCATCTATTACATGCCAGACAGCCTTCCAATCTTCTTCTCATTTAATCCTTGCAGACAAAGTTAGTAAACACCTAAATGATGGTGTTAAGCCAAGCAGAAAAGCACTCCAACTTTTCCCCCTTCCAAATTACACTCTCCCCAAATGTAATTTGCGCACAAATGAACGAATGGATAGATTCGAATAATCTTTGAAGTTTGCCCCTTTTTTTGAAGTCAAAACTTGGAAAATAAGGGTATTCTACCAATTGATAGACACTACTTACTCTTTACCACTGAAATGACAAAATTATTCCCAATGTCAAGTTCAAATTTACAAATATTTACTAAATACATAGTAATAATCCTAGCGTGGTTCTAGAAAACAACAGGAGATGGGGAGGGGGCTGTTTAAGACAGAATTCTGTCTCTTCTGTGGGCGAGAATGTCCCTCCGAGCTCCCCATCCGCCGCTCAAGACGCTTACAGAAAGAAGGAGGGAGGAATATTTTGATATCAACAATATGAGATAATAGAAAATGAGTATGAGGCGTATTCAAAAGAGAGCTTATGAAAAAGAGAGTACATTTTTATTATAGAATTAATCAATTAAAATATGAATTAATATCCTCGTGATAATCATCATGCCTTGCATTTGGAGGACACGTTGATTTTCAGAAGTTCAAGTGTTTGTCTGAACAATAAGGGAATGGAGGTACTGTTATCATAGACCCCAAGCCAAAGCTAAAAACCAAGGTCCCTCCAAACTTACCTCTGATTTGCCATTCCCATGAGAAAAGTATGTGTACCATACAGCGTGTTGAGAGGGAAAGTGAAATAAAAATCCACGTGTAGAGCCCAATCCTTCTGGAATAGTTAATAGCTATAAATAGACATTAAAACTGATAACCATTTATGCATTTATTTCAAAAACTAAGAGTCACAGCAAAAAAAACAAAAAAAAAAGAAGAAGAAGAAGAAAGAAAGAAAAAGAAAGAAAGCCAAAGATGCTATTGGAAATAAGAGCAACTAAAAAGAAATAGTGAAAACTATGAATGCTGAAAATCATAGAAAATATTTTTAAATGATGGCCAAACAGATGAAAAAGATATACTTTTGCAGAGCACATGTTTGTGCCCCAAGCGATGTCTCACTGTTAACAAAGCTTCCTTCTTAACTATTAATTGAGAAGTACTGTTTCTCATCAGCAACCAGGAGGATGGTGCAACGGAATGAATTGCCATTTTGGTGGCGTCCCAAGGAAAAGCAGACGATCAACTATGCCAGCGTTTGAGCAGACACGTCTACGGTGCAGCTCTTGTCTCCCATGGCTCAGTCTCTGGCTGTCACAGTTTGCCTGTGTGTAACTTTTGGTTGAAATTTAAGTGATGTTTTACATTTAATTGTTTCTTCTCTTTTTTATTTACCACATCCTCACAGCCACTTCACATTCTTTGTGGGAAGAAGGGAAATATGCATAGAAAAATAAATGTAAAGTGACTTGGAAGTTCCTGGCAAGACCTTTGGACAGATAAGGGATGCATTTCAGAGTTCATCACTGGGCTGGCCTAGAAGTTGGGACTCACGAACCCACCAGCAGAGAGACTGCTGGCCGCACTTCAGTCTTAATTAAGAGAGGGGAAGGGTCCACCACCAGATCCAAAGGTGACATGTTTTAAAGAGATCAACATTTTATCTGAATCTAGGAGCAATTTTTTTATCCTTACCCAAGGACATGTTTCCATTGATTTTTAGAGAGAGGGAGAGGGGGAGGGGCAGGGAGAGAGACAGAGAGAGAGAGAGAGAGAGAAACATCAATGTGAGAGAGATAAACGTCAATTTTTTACCTCCCATATGTGCCCCTACTGGGGATCGAACCTGAAACGTAGGCATGTGTCCCGACCAGGAATTGAACCGGCAACCTTTTGGTGTACACTGTGATGCTCCAATGAACTGAGCCATGCAGCCAGGGCTGGGTAATTTTTTAAAGCCTCGCACAGAGATCAAATCCACAGGCACACCTGCGCAAACCAGCCTTGGTGTGCGAGCCTCAGGTTTCATTCCAGTGATTACCTTTCCAAAGATTATTAACCCCTAGAGGGACGCCCCTTTCAAGACTACAGAAAAGTAGGGAAAATAAGGTTTTGACAGCTAACACAATACCTCACGTTTAGAGAGCAGCAAAAACTCTCTATGATATTTTGGGTTTGGGGTATTTTTTTGTTTGTTTGGGTTGGGGGTGGTACATCTGTACTACTCATTTGTTTCTAAGTCATGTGTCCTTTCGACAAGCATGAGCCAGGTGCCTCCATACCGGTGCTGAGTGACAAGAGGCGAGAGGACCGTGTTCTCAGTCCTCAGGAAGGTCACAGCCAGGAGAGCATTGGTTCCAGGTGGTCATGTGACAGGGAGGTCACACAGGGCGGACGCTAGCTCAGACTGGGCTGAGAACTTGGACAACTTCCTTGGGATGAGCCAAGTAAGCCTCAGAAATGCCAGAAGCCATCTGCCCATCCGGGGGAGTGAGGAGAAACAGTGACTGTCGGGCAGGGGGTGGGGAAGACGCAGCCTGGGCCTGTCTCAGCCAGGCGACCTCAGCAGGACAGGAGGGCGTTGAGGAGAGCGGCCGGGGAAGAGGGGGAGAAGCTGTCGTGAATGGAGTTCCACTGCAAGTTAAGAACTGGAACTCTATCCGGAAGACACTGGGAGAGCATAGAAAGGTGCGAAGCAGAATGGGATATAATTACATTTTACATAAAAATCACTGTGCATGAAATAGAAATGGCGGGGTGAGATCACGGAGACCAGCTGGGAGACCACTCCCGGCACCGGTGCCGGCCGAGGAGATGAGCGGGGCCCCCCACCCCGCACTCCGCTCTCCGAGCCCTCTGTCCTGGAGAGGGGGATTCCCTCCTCTGGGGAGAGGGGTCTTGATCAGCCCACGAACGTGGGCTCTGCGGCCCACACCCCCCAACAAGGGGCTGCTTTTGCCCAAGTAAAGGCTGTTCTTCTAATTCATAAACTTAGAAAGGGCACTTTGTTCTAATCCACACAAAGGCAGTAGTATGAGCGGGGGATGGTTCTCAAGCTTACAATTAGGATTTTTTTTAAATCCTCACCCAAGGATATGTTTTCATTGATTTTAGTGCAAGAGGAAGGTGGGGGGAGAGAGGGGAGACAGCAAGAGAGAGAGAAATAGCAATCAGCTGCCTCTTGCAGGCGCCCTGACCAGGAACCAAACCTGCCACCTAGGCATGTGCCCTGACCGGGAATCGAACCTGCACCCTTTTTGCTGTACAGGACAATGCTCCCACAACTGAGCCACGGCCCAGGGCTTACAATTAGGTAAGTGAGAAATAATAAGGCCCTGAACTGAAGCCGAGAGGATCACAAGAAGGGAGGGTGTTTGTAGGGCTCCTCATTCACCAAACCTGCCGAGGGCCCGCCAGGTGCTCTGAGCTCACCAAAGGCATCATGACTAAGCTCTGCTCTGGTACAGGTGGCAGCAGGATGGAGGGTGATGGGAACCCAGGCACTTAGATGTCAGAAGCCCAATTCCCCATCTGTCTTCTTAACCTGCTTTTGATCTAAAAGTCCCCGTTCTGGTTCACGTCGTTAACATTCCAGGACCTCAGATCTCTGGGATCTGCGTTGATGCTTCCTTGCCCCCATCTGCCATGCTTTGTAGGGCGGTCCTGCCCTAGAGCTCAGACTTCCCTCCACTTTGCCCTTCCTACTGCTTCTGGCCCAAAGCCCTTATTACTCCCCATGTGAACACCTGCATTAAACTTCCGCTCTCTGGCAAGTCCAGCCCAGTCTGCCTTGGCAAACTCTTAAACTGAGTCGTGACCGGAATCCTAGCAGGGGTCTCCATCTCAGAGAGGAAAAGTTGAAATTGTTTAGGGTGGCCTATGAGTCGCTCCATCATCGAACCCCAAGTGTCCTCTCCAAACTTACCTCCCTCTACTCCCTGATTGTCTCCGGCAGTCACTTGCCCTTAGACACCCTCCACCATGCGTGACTAAAACCTTACACGCTCGCGCTTCCCATGAAGGGCTGGCTGCCGTGTGAGGTTGTGAGCGCACGCTCTTCCAGAATGCGTTACACAAAACCGTTTTAGAGGAGTCCTGCTCCGAAAGTTCTAGGATTGGGTCGGGGATTTGCAGTACCAGGAATTCCCGAAGCCTCGCCAGTCACCTCTGTCACGAGGAGAACTTCGGGGAGATCCAGATGTCCTGATCCCTTCCCTCTGGAAATGCGGATTCAGTCAGCAAGATTGGAGTACCGTCTTCTTGAATGTGCATCTCCGTAAATTGTCATAAAAGCCAGACGCGGGTCTCTCCATGTGACCAGTTCAGGTCTCTG